AGGTATACACTTTGAATCACTGTGTCTTCTACCTATAAAAACTTTCTGACAGGTTGATTTGTGGACCACACAAATCTATTCTTCCTGCTTCACAGCCAAGTATACTTGTTTCTGTCCTGTTGACTTTGTAAGTTTTGGCTTAATTAGAAAGACACCAAGAGAAAAATAGTGCTTTAACTTTCAAGAGAAAAACCTGAGGTATCCCTTCATTGTATCAAAAAAATGTACCATGGTCATTGAGGCAATGCCTTATCAGGTATGAGTGTGCATTTATGTATATATGCAGTTAGACAAATAGCTGGCACCTCTACATTCTGGACACTACAGTGTAGCTTTGCCTGTAGCTGTTATCTTCAAAGTGACACAGTGATGCTTCAGGGCCAGAGCGTCCTGTCGCCAACCTGTGATGGCTGACTGCACAGACACGCTGTCGAAAGGCTGCTGCTTTGTCTGAAGCCCAGCCAGGGGACCGGCAGAAGTACAGACAACAGCACTCAACCAGAGCAGCTCTGACAGCTGATGAATAAAAAATAAGATGTTGATTGTTGTTAATGAGTAATGTGAGATTATAAGTAAAGTGCATCAACAGTCTGACATAAGTCACAGAGATAAACCGGAGAGCGGTTTGCTCCCATCTTCTACCAGCAGTCAGCGGTGGTTTCTTTTATATGTTCACAGTCTTTGTTTAACCATAACCAAGTCGTTTTAGTCACTTAAACCAAACCAGCCCACAGTGGTGTTGCATTTGTGGAGTACAAATGAAGAAAAAACAATTAAATAAAAATGGCATGATCCCTGTACAAACACATGGATTCAGTTTTATTTTTAGCCTGAAGCACCAGTACACTGCAAATAGTAAAAACTGGTTGTAAAAATCTACACCACATCAAGAAAATTAATATTTGATATATTGTGGTGTATTTTATTGTGTGTAGCAAACTGTTGCATGTCTAAACATCCAGCAGACAAGCGCTCCTTTGGAGGTTTGTTTATGTGATATAATGAATATACTGTAAGAGTCCGGTCACTCTTCTTATAGCTCTGTTTTGGTCTCCACTGCCACCTAAGCAAAACGTTTGGCTCTTGAACTGTTAGTCTCTGCACCATGTTCAGCAATGAGGCACTAACTTTTTCTGTCTATCATTTCATGCAAAGCAGGTAGTGCACATTTTTTATTTGCTGCCTGCTGTTGGACAAAAGACACAGATACAGATATCCACATTTGATATCTTATACATCTGTAACAATGTGTTAAGCTTCTGAAAATTAGCTTCCAAAATACAACCAAATACAACTAAATTCTTGTTTGTCTGAGGCACTGAGATGTTGATTTGACCTCTTTCATGTTGCTTTTTGCTCTCTGATTGAATCAATGTTTCATGCTTTGTTATATATTCAGACTGTGAGTGCACTGCATCCAGTTTTTCCTCCCCTAAATCCTAGGGTAATGTTGAAGCTCACAGACAGGGCTGCCATGCCCCACTTGTTTTTGGGACTCGGAGTTGAACTGTGTGGTCACTGAGTGGATTGATGGGGGAGCCATTGCGTCCCCTCAGCACCAAATTGCATCAGCTAATCTTGTGAATAATGCAATATCATGAATAAACATGGATCAATGCAGTGCAGTACTGTAGAGGAGACATGCCTTATTCGCTTTTGCCCTTTTCTTCTCTTCTCCACCCCTGCTTCCATTTTATTCACCAAACTCCTTGTGTCTCTTTTTGGCTTTCTCTTCTCTCATCACAAAAACACTCTCTTTCTTCCCTCCCTGCCAAAATCAAACACTCCCACTATTCCCCCTTCCTCTGTCACTCTCTTGCCATCCTTTTCTTCTTCTCTCTGGCCACAGCAGTGACAGACATTGTAGTGCTATAGATGCTGGGTCTCAGTGCGGGCGAGTCAGACCCGGCCTTCTCTCTCAGCTCAATAGCTGCCTGATTTTCCTCAAAGGCAGCCATCCAGCCAGCACAAAGCCTGCCTGCTGGGAATAGACCCACAAAAGAGAAAGGGGCTGCTTTCCTTCTTTGCTCTGCTCTGTCTGAAGCGGCCTGCCTCCACCACCTCCTATAAATAATACAACACTCCCTCAACAAAAAGAAACCCTGCACTGCTCCCGCAAGCCTCTGCTGCCATCTCTGCTTTATTCTCTCCCTGTGTCTCTAGCCTCTTCTCCTATTTCCCACCTCTTTTACCTCTTTTACTAAACACAGATAAACACTGCTTTTTGAATGGGCTTAGACTGAGTTACATATTAAATTAACTAATGTATGAGATTTCTTTGTGTAGTGTGCATTGCTGTCTTACATATAGCATCTGTGCACTGTGATACTTGTAGTGGTGAAATGGTTTGACCACTTTTCTAAATAACTGCATAAGGTACAGTATACTGAGGTGCAGGTAACCATAGCAACAGTAATTTGGGTTAATATGTTTCTGTTTTCTTTAGTAGTAAAACAAACCTAACCACTGGTTAAACCAACCATCAACAGGCTCTAAGAAAAGGCTGCATTTTCTCAAGTGTCATGGTATGCTCTATGGGTCACAAGTGTTTTAATGCTGAAACTAAAGGGCAGGCGAAAGAGGGATGTTCAGGCAGATAACAGGGTATGATTAATGTTTTTATATTTAATATTTATGTAGATGTTCATTGCACTTGGCTAAGATTAGAAAATCATGACCTTGGTTTAACCCAAGGGGGGAAGCAGAAACAAGTTGTGAACAACAGTGACATATTGTATCATCACTTTTTAAGTCAATGGTGTGTCTGTGTTGATCTGGTGAAGTTGTTAGCAAACAGTGAAGTCATTTTATTTACACAAACCGGTATCACAGATTACAGCTCCAATCAATTCATCATATGAGACCATCTGTCCTTACACTTGAATCAGTCAGCAGCTGAAGCTCTGTTGACTGAATAGGGTGTCAACAGATTTGATCTTCAAAGGCCACTGAAAGGCCTGAAGAAAATAGCCATTAGTGAAATACTGTTTTTCTTGAATAAGTTTCAAAGTAATAATTATATCAATGTGATTCCAAATGCTAGGGGTGGTTTTTTGTTGTCAAGGAATCATAGTATGGGAGTCAAACTATCATGGGAATATTGCTTTTAGTTGTACTGGCATTATGGGGACAGTGAACTGCCTTGGCAGAGGTTTAAGCTCTCTGAGTGCTATCTAGGTGTATTTGTCTGCTGCTACTGAACAGGGAGAGTATAGTGGGATTTTAGAGCTTTTAAAGTAAAAACAGCTGCCTGCTATGACCATAAGCAATGTCACGAGAGTAGTGAGAGCGAACCAAAATAGTAAAGTTGTGGCCAAACAGCTAAACAATGAGCGGAACATCATTATATAAAGCTCTGTAAGGTAAATTGCAAATTGGGGTGATAATTCTTTGCAGGTTCACCAAATGAGCGAACCCTTTTACAAAGTAGCATTGTGTTCACATTATTTGATACACTGTGACTGTAAAATGTCAGTTATAGCTGAAAGACATTAAGGAAAACCAAGAACCTGCTCATTATGAAACTTGACTCATACTACGGCTAAAACTCAGTATACCTCAGCCTCTGCTGCTACAGTGTTGACAATTATCTAGTGACTCTCCTGAATGTATGAAAGTGCAACACTAAATATTTAACCAAAACCACTATCTTTCACTTACCTTATCCATATATTTTGGTTGCCTAACTACACTCTGGGTGTAGGATGTAGAACATAGGCCCTGGACTTAATAACGTGATGTCTCATACATCTGTGACAGTCTGTTTCCTTAAGGCTTGTCATTTTATACTCACATGTTAAATACTTTAAAGAGTAAAAATAAAAATAGTGATACTCCATACAGTTTTGTTTTTGTAGCTTCTCTAACTTGACCTAAAATACTTAGTGGGTAACCCTGTTTAAATATGTGCATTAGTTACATTTGTGGGAATGTATAAATGGCTGTGTGTGCATGTGTTGGTGCAATTTGTCAGTGTACTAATGTGAATGTGTGCACAGGGATTAGGCTGCTATAACTGAGGCTCTCCTAGCCTGCCAGGCTTTAGGACGGGCCTGGACAAAGAGACTGATTTCAATGTAAATGCAGCAGCTGAGAGGACACAGCTCTCTCAGTGGGGTGACTTCCACCCTCCACATGCATGCACACACATACTGACACCCATACACCATGAGGATCCAGATAAGGATAAACACATTTCACCATATTCACTGACATAATAAACACAGAGGATTCAGCCTCCATCTACACCATGTATAAGTGGCAAATGGACTTGGTAGAGGCAACACCAGCAAGAGAATGTTGAAGAATCTTAGAAGTTGGTGACCACTGTTTGAAAACTGCTTGTGTCTGCTGTGGCACCTGTCAGTAATCATAGATATAATCTGGTCCACAGTGCTGTGTTGTGGCCCTGTGCGGGCCCTCACAATACCAAGTCAGTCCCCATGTCTGGCCTCTGCACCTCTTATTACATGCAAATTATGCCGCTTTATCAGAGGAGTGAATGAGAACCCATCTCAATCACGCACAAGCCATTCTTCAATCTATTACTGCATTCTCTGCTTTAGTGCAGACAGCACAGATCTCATGGTATCACTGTTCAAAAAACACTGGAGGTTGGCAGAATACAGATAGGCAGGCAGAATTGATGAACTGAACAGCTAATGATCCAATACTGCTGCTTAGCATGCTCTGCAAAACATGTTTCCCAACAGTTAATATGTATGTGCTGTGTTCTTGTGCTTTGTAGTATTCATTTGTGTAACTTATCTTTTAAGAAATTTCTAGAAATGTTAAAATACAAGAATAAAAAGAAACAAATATATACCTGTAATTTTTAAGGATCTGCTGTGACCATTGAACCAGTTTCCCATTCAGATTCCCATTAATGTTTGACTTTGCTTCTGCGCCCAAATTCTATTTCCCCCTTGCGAGTGTATGCGACTGCATGCTGCTGCTGCATACCGTTTGTGTCTGCTTCTTGCATAGTAATGAGCACGTACCTGTCAGGCAGACATGTGCAGGCTGCTGCCTCAGGTCAGTGTTTGCTGCCACAGGATGCTTTTCCATGACTGTTCTTTCGTGCACACACCTGTATGCTGTCCCCGCTCTCTGTCTGCAGCTTGACATTTGGTATGGTGAAGATAGAAGACACTGCACAGGGAGAAGATGCAAGCAGATTAAAAGAATGTGAGCTGACAGAGTAAGCTGTTACAGATAGAATGCTATTTAAAAGTGAAGTTTTTTAGGATTTAAATTGATTTATCATAGGGTTCTTTAAATTACTACATGTAACATTTTAACACTGCTCATTTGCTTTTGTGGAAGAAGGAAGAAAATGATCTCATCAGTTCCTGTTCTTTTCCACTGAAGGAAAGAAGCTGAAACTTGGAGCTTCCCATAACCTGAACAAGGTTTTCCCTTATATTTTACAAACCAGGCCATTTAAATGGTGTCCTTTTTATTTATGATTATTAATACATTTTTCTTTTAAAGTACTGTTTGACTGACCAAAGTTCCCATGAAACTTTGGAGTTGCACCTGATGGTTTCTGGTATGTAAACATGTTGAGTGAGTTACACTGTAGGCTGCAACTTGTGTCTATATTTATTTATATTTTAGCAAAACACTTTAAAATGACATGATTCTCAGGCAGGTCTAGAAACAAAAGTGGCATCCTTTTCTTTTTCTATGATTTCTAAGCAAATGTATGCACACTTACATCACAAATAATGACTGGGAAATGTAAGCCACCACATTAGTCTGAAAACATGTGTATCTTTGTTGTGACTCTGAGAAGGAGTACAAGGTTTGACTCAAATGTACTTAAAACTCAGGGTTTACACTAAAAACAAAGGAGCTGATGGTGGCAACAATTTGCTGTCTAAAAGTCTGCTGACAGTTTGAAAACCCTGTTAAAACAAAACTGTTGACCGTAACATAGTGTGAATCTACTGCATTGCTACATTATATGGGCAAGTACATTAAGTTGAATAAATATGTCATAAAAAGAAGAATATCAAATGGCAATTTACTTGTTGATTTTATTAATTCAATATTGTTTTGTTTATATTTTAGGAAACTATGGGGATATAACACTGTTTAACTTCCGACTGGGGCAAATGGATTCAAATACTTTCTCCATTCAAGAGGTGGCCAGTAACTAGTACATATACTCAAATACTATAGTTAAGTATAAATCTGAGGTACTTTTACTTTACAGGAACATTAGCATTTTATGTTACTTTTACTCAATTCAACTACAATTCAGAGAGAAATAATTTACATTTTATTCACTGCATTTATTTGACGGTTTCAGTTACTTTGCCGATTCAGTTTCATAATGCAAAATGCAATCAAACAATAAATGATTATGTATTTCCATGGAGTAACCACCTGGCAGTATAGAACGTGGTTAAAGTGGCTCTACCTTTAGTAGCTGTGCTGTTTTTGTTCCACACCAAGTCACTACAGAATCAGAATCAGCTTTATCGGCCAGGTGTGTTGGACACGAGGAATTTGACTCTGGTACAGCGGTTCTCAATATGTATACAACATAGATCTTGAACCATTAGTTTGTATTAATAACTAGGAACTGTTCTTAGCCAGTTGTTCGTCTGTGTGTTAGCCCTGCAATGGACTGGCGACCTGTCCAGGGTGTACCCCGCCTCTCGCCCGCTGCTGGCTGGGATTGGCTCCAGCACCCCGTGACCCCGTTTGGGACTAAGCGATTTAGAAAATGGATGGATGGATGGATGGATGTTCTTAGCCATGTTTTGCAGTTTGTTGACCAAACATGAACTAGACAACATCATCAAATTCAATAGTTTTTAAAATATATTGTTTTCTCAGTGTACTTGTACTTGTACTTCTGAACTTTAATCACATTCTAGAGCATGTACTTAGTACTTCAACTTGAGTAGAAGAATTTGAAGTGGTACTTATACGTATGTGCTTTTTTTAGAAAAGAATTTGCACTTTTACTTGGATATTGTGTACTTTTACCACCTCTGCTCCGTTCTAAGTGCACACTCTTTTCTTTAACTAGGAAATGAAAGTAATGAGTTTTCCCAAGAGATCAGGGGAACTGGAGGAACGACTTCTCCGTCCAAACATTTTATGTGAGTCCAGAGACTCACATAAAGCTCTCACTTCTTCCACTCCCAGACACCCACATGTTGTGTTCAAATCAAAAATGTCATAATCCACATAGCAACAGTTTCCTCAGGAGCTCTGTTGTCTCAATAATACTGGTATTGTTCCTGGTAATGTATCTCAGTACCCTCTGGATAAATCCATAATACCCAAGACAACACAGTGCACAGCTGACCATAGAAAATATGCTGTTCATCCCTATGTGGATAACAAGGGAACACTTACTTGAAAGGTTCATCAGTTTTTCAACCACCACTCTTTATTTGGTTTATTTCTACAAAGCAGTACTGTACATACTTTTACATACTGGGCTGTGCCATTTGGCTTCAGTCTTTTCTGGGGTTAGAACATGATTCCTATGCTGTGGTTAGAGCCAAATACTCACAACTAGCCAGTATATCACATTTAGCTCTGATTTGTACAATTTGGACACATTCTTCCCCCACAAAACTGCAAGCGGCAAACCAACCCTTGTCTTTAACACACACAGATGATACTTTTTGTTAATCCACTCCTGTCCTCATTTTATGACACTGTTTAACTTCACTCATTCTTCCCTCAGTGACTCTGCTTCTTTGCCTGTTACATGCACATGCAGAAAAGAGAGAATCAGAGACAAAGAGATAAAGAGACAAGGGAGAGAAAGAGAGAGAGAGAGAGTAAGCTTGACAAAAACTCAAACTGAGCCACCTCTCCTCACTCTGTCTCTTAGTGACCGAGTCTTTTCAGGCATGACAACCTGCTGGGTGCTGATAACAGGATTAATAATGTAGAAAAATCCTAATCAGGGGGAATTAAAATGAGAATTCTCCCATTAAAACTACCACTGTGTCAGTGGCAGCACACTCAGGTCTGCTGAGCAGGCTTTTCACTCCACTAATGAATAACAACTTAAGTGGTGACACACAGCATGTATATGCAGTTGTCAAATAATATGGATATACAGTCATCTCTGGTGTACTTTGATACAATAAACTAGTTCTGTAAGATTAATTGATTAACTGTGAAGCTGTGGCTAAAGCCTCTTACAGTTATACACAGAATATACATGGGAAATCAACAGGATTAATACAAATGCGCTTCTAAAGTGAAGATGTTTAAGCTAAGATGCTGTGGTTTTCTAAGGTACTGTGTTTTTGTGCTGGGGCTCTTAGTTCAAGAGCTCTTTGCTGTCTTGTTGCTCTGGGCACAGAACAAGTCAGGAAGACAGAAAATCAAACTGGCGGCCAGCAGAGGTCTGACTGGGCTTGCTGTACCAACGGCATCCACATAATAAGACAGGCTTTCTCTGCATGAACAAAAACAAGCCCTGCTCGCTGCCTTCCTTGCAGAGAGACAGAAAGAGTGAGGGGAGGGTTCTGTATGATCCAGTGGAACTGAGGGAGCTGAAA